AGGTGCGATGGCTCATGCCTGTAATCCCAGCACTTAATGGAGGCCGAGGAGGGCGGATCACAAGGTCAAGAGATCGAGACCATCCTGGCCAACATGGTGAAACCCCATCTCTACTAAAAATACAAATATTAGCTGGGCATGGTGGCGCACGCCTGTAGTCTTAGCTACTCAGAAGGCTGAGGCAGGAGAATTGCTTGAACCCGGAGGTGGAGGTTGCAATGAGCTGAGATCACGCCATTGCACTCCAGCCTGGGCAACAACAGTGAAACTCTGCCTCAAAAAAAAAAAAAAAAAAAAAGAGAAAGAAAATGCTACAGTGCCACATAGAAAGGATATATAGTTATCATTTTGCCTATTTTGAAGTTTGAGATTTTCTTTCTTAATTATGTGGACCTTATTTGGATTTGGATTCAAACACCTATAAAAAGACATATTTGATAAAAGCAGAGAATTTGAATATGAACTGGGTATTATAAAATTATTGAGTAATTACAAGAATAATTTAATGTGGTGCAGTAATGGCATTTATGTACATAAACAAAGTCCCCATCTGTAAAAAAAGCATATGCGGGCCAGGTGCAGCAGCTCATTACTGTAATCCCAGCACTCTGGGAGGCTGAGGCAGGTGGATCACCTGAGCTCAGGAGTTTGAGACCAGCCTGGCCAACATAGGGAGACCCCATCTCTACTAAAAATACAAAAATTAGCCAGGTATGGTGGCACATGCCTGTAATCCCATCCTGGCCAATATAGTGAAATCCTGTCTCTACTAAAAATAAAACAGCCGGGCGTGGTGGCACATGCCTGTAGTCCCAGCTACCCAGGAGGCTGAGGCAGGAGAATTGCTTGAACTCGCAAGGCAGAGGTTGCAGTGAGTCAAGATCACGCCACTGCACTCCAGCTTGGGTAAGATAGTGAGACTCTGTCTCAAAAACAAAGCAAAACAAAACAAAAAAATCATATGGAGCTGGGAACGGTGGCTCATGCCTATAATCCCAGCACTTTGGGAGGCCAAGGCAGGTGGATCACTTGAGGCCAGGAGTTCAAGACAAGCCTGGCCAACATAGGGAGACCCGTTTCTACTAAAAATACAAAAATTAGCCAGGTGTGGTGGTGGATGCCCATAGTCCCAGCTACTCAGGAGGCTGAGATGAGAGAATCGCTTGAACCCAGGAGGCAGAGGTCTCAGTGAGCTGAGTTTACGCCAGTGCACTCCAACCTAGATGACAGAGCAAGACTCTGTCTCAAAAAAAAAAAAAGCATACAGAAGGGTTTACAGGTAAAGTGAAATATGTCTGGGTAGCATTAGAATTCTAAATGTCCAATTCCAATTCGAATTCTAATGTAACATCTCTCATTCTATTTACAGGTAAAGTGAAAAAAGCTTTGTAAATACTCACAGTTTTTTTTTCTTTTAAAGGTAATAACAAACAACAAAGTGAAACATGGCAAAATATTAATAATTGTTGAAGCTAAGTGGCTCACATTTTCTCTACTTCTGTGTGGGTTTAAAATTTTCCAAAATAATTTTTAAAAATTTAATGAGAGTATTCCATTTCACATTATAGGGTAACTGTACCATCACCACATAAAGCTTAAAATTCTCAGAAATGTTAAAGTGAAAAGTTGAATTTGGCCGGGTATGGTTTCTCACGCCTGTAATCCCAGCACTTTGGGAGACCAAGTCAGGAGGTCTGAGCCCAGGAGTTCGAGACCAGCCTGGGCAACACGGCCAGACCTTGTCTCTATAAAAAAATACAAAAATTAGCCAGGCATGGTGGTACACACCTGTCCTAGCTACTCAGGATGCTGAAGTGGGAGAATTGCTTGAGCTCAGCAGGTTGAGGCTGCAGTGAACCATCTGGCCTAGGTGACAGAGTGAGACCCTGTTTCCAAAAATTTATATATTTTTAAGTTGAATTTGTCATGATATATTACACAATATATTTTCACTGACTTTTGAGCTAATAGACATTTAAAAGTCACCAAATTTGGAATACAACGTATTATAAATGACATCCCAAGTCATGAGAGATTGGTTCAGCCTACGCTTTTTGTTCAAAACCCAGTAGTTAATGCTGTTAGCATTCAAAATCCCTTTTCTTCCTTTTAAAAGGGACAGTTAAACTTGTTATTTTTTACCCTGCAGCTAGTTGTTAGCACAAAAGCAGGCAGATTTTAGTAGCACAAAAGTTATTTATTAGCTTATGCCTCTACTAGAAAATGGAAATGTTGGCTTAAATTTGTTTCATTGTGTAAGTGCACAAGTTTGAATAGAAAAATGAAAAAAAAAACTGTTTCACTGATATAACTTTTATCTTTTCCTTTACAGATATTCATTTATTCATTCTGGCACTAATACCAAAGTATCCTTCACACAAAAGACAGATTCTTTGCCTCTTTACCAATGGGAGCTTCTTGTTTTCAGGTTTTTTGTTTGTTTGATTTTCGTTTGGAGGCCTCTTTCCAAGCACTCTAGTATTCCTAAAACCCTGAGATTCTGGGCCCAGCTTGGTGGCTCATGCCTGTAATCCCAGCACCTTGGGCAGCCGAGGCAGGCAGATCATGAGGTTAGAAAATCAAGACCATCCTGGCCAACATGGTGAAACCTTGCCTCTACTAAAAAAAAACCCAAAAAACAAAAAACAAAACCCAAAACCAAACCAAACAAAAAAACCCTGAGATTCTGAATGCTATATTTTAGTTCAATACGTTTATACTAAATGTAGGGGAAAAAACTAATGTATTTGCCTTACCCATCACAAGGTTTATGCTGAGACTCCAATAACAAAAAACAGATTAACAAGAGAAAAGCATGCACATTTATTTTTATCCAAGTTTTTTTTTTTTTTTTTGAGACAGAGTTTCGCTCTTGTTACCCAGGCTGGAGTGCAATGGCGCGATCTCGGCTCAACACAACCTCCGCCTCCTGGGTTCAGGCAATTCTCCTGCCTCAGCCTCCTGAGTAGCTGGGATTACAGGCACGCACCACCATGCCCAGCTGATTTTTTTGTATTTTTAGTAGAGACGGGGTTTCACCATGTTGACCAGGATGGTCTCGATCTCTTGACCTCGTGATCCACCCGCCTCGGCCTCCCAAAGTGCTGGGATTACAGGCTTGAGCCACCGCGCCCGGCGCTGGAGGAAGAAATTTTAACTGTGCTTCAGAACCTTAAATGGAGAGAGAAGCTGTAGACGGCAGGTAGCACAAAGCTACAGAGCTGCTACCAAGCTGTCTCCTACATCACAAAGCAGAACCTGTTTTCCCAGCATCCATTTCTCTTACCCTTATTTGGACTTGAGAATCTGCACCAATCAATGTAGCGTGGTGGGAGAGGGGAGTGTGTGACTGATACTGCAGCCAAGCAGGGCCAGGCAGCTTCAGAAATGCCCACACTGAGCTCATTCAGTTAATATACATTCGTTGACATAGAAGCTGTGTGCGTAGAAGACAGGGGATGTCTGAACTCTTTTGGGGCTTACACTGAGGGGGAAGAAGATGGAAAATAAACACATTGACAAAGAAATGAACAAGATGTTTCAAATGGTGACAAATGCGTGAAGAAAGGAAAACAGAATAATGCATGATGGGGAACTGGTTTCAATTGGGTAAGGAAGACCTTTCTGAGATGCCAATTAAACAGAGACATCATTGATAAGAAGGGGGAAGCCATGCAAGGGGCTGGGGCAGAGAGTTTCAAGATGTTATAGTCAACCTCAAGTTTCTCTTCACAGAATCAGTATGTCAGTATGTTCAGCTGTCTTATTCTTTAATTCTCTATTTTAAAGTTTAACTTCCTTGTAATTCTGGTAAACAACCTTCTCCACCGGTTCTAATCAGTAGTTCACATCTGTTTCCCCAGCCCAGCTCCATCCTGACTCATCCTGGTGGCCTGCTCCAGTCAACTGCTCAGATACCTTCTTTGACGTAGGTCACCCCTGGCTACCTGCTCTGACCCGCCCATAACTGTCCTTCCCACCAAAACACCCACTCTGCCACTCCTGCTCTCTTTAAAATAGCCAGTTGGGATTGGTCTAGCTTGTTCGGTCTAACCCTAGCCAATAGCGGAACAACACAGCAGTAGGGACAACCCCCATCAGGCATAAGTTCCCTGTCTCCCCACAAGCCTGCAGGAGCCATTGTTCCATCTCTATGCCACACCCTTCTATAGAAGTAAACTGCCTTGCTGAGAGGATTTATCTTCAAGTGCTATTTCTTTTGTGGCATTGAAATTTTTACTTAGAACAAAGACCACAGAGGTTAAAGCACAGGGGCTGAGGGAAAAGTGTCATGAGGGAGATCAGAGGGCTAAGAGGGGCTGTTATGTCATGAGTCCCAGGCCAGGCCCAGAATGGCCTGTGAATGGGTTAACGAGCACTTTTTTGTTTGTTTGTTTGTTTGTTTTTTGAGACAGAAATTCGCTCTTGTTGCCCAGGCTAGAGTGCAATGGTACAATCTTGGTTCACTGCAACCTCCGCCTCCTGGGTTCAAGCGATTCAAAGGAGCATCTTAAGCACACTTTGTTCCTACAATACCAACTAAAAAAGCAGGTATCAAGAGCGTCTAGGCAGGATGTGCTGAGACCACCTCCAGAGCACAGGCCTGCCAGAGTTGTGCTAAGCAGGTGAGGTCTACATCCCTCCCAGCTCGGAGGAGCAGCGTGAGTTATACTGCCAAAGGGAAAAAAGACAAAATGTGGGGCAGGGTAGAAGAGAAGGACGAGGGACGTTACATGTGGGCGTGGCTTCTGAATGTCCCACCTACTCCACCACACTCCTCGTAAACGCAGTGCAAATTTCCCCACTCCCAGCGTAGGTGGGGTGAAGATGCGGCAGGTTTTAGGGTCTAGGACCCTGAGCTCTTCCATTCATGAATACCCAGTGTGGCCCATCCTCTCACCACCGACTAGGTGGGTGGCCAGTGTCCCAGCTACATCTCCGCCCTTAGGAGCAGGGCACTGGCTGACCCAGAGGACCTGCGCCGCCTCTTCCAGCCTGCTCCCAGCCCAGTGCACGCGTCGATCGCCGCGGCCGCCCAGTTGGCTCAGAAAGACGGAGATCTTCACGCGGCGGGGCCTGGGACACGGCAGCGGCAGCACAGGGACATGGCCCCGCGACTGGACGCGCCGGCTGCAGGCAGAGCAGGACGCGCGCAGGCTGGGCACCCGCGTTCGCTCCAGCGGCGTCAGCTTCCAGGGCCGTAAGGGCACGCCCGAGCCTTCTGGAAACCTCCCCACCAAGGACCCTGGGAAGCCGAGTCTCGGCCCGCTTTGCAGTCTCTGGTTTCTCGATTCAGCGTCGAGGAGCGGAAACAACCTCCCTGAACTGGGCCCAGACCCTTCAGCTTCTGGAACCTCAGTTTTACCTTCCGTCGAATGGCGACAATGGCTGTCTGGTTGAACGTTATTTTACGTAGGAAGTAATAATTTTCGTAAATAGGTCTCTGCTATTTGCTTGCTGAAATCCTGCTTTGTTCTGGAAACAAAATTAGGTCATGTTAGGGGCAGGGACTCAGTATTTACTGTTGAGCCCCTGGCGAGCGCCACCTTCGCCTCAAAGCGCCCTCGGACCCTGATCAAGCGGAAGGCCAGAGGTGGGCAGTGAGGGGTCTCGAGAGGTGGAAAGGGGATTATTGCACCCCCAGAGTCCTACGTAGGGGCCTCACAAGCCTTAGGATTTGCTCCCTTAAACCGTGTAACAGGCCACCTGGATTACGCGCCAAACTCAGCCTGCGGCTCTTGGCGCAGCCTCGGTCCCGCCTGATTTCAGTTTTCGTTTCTCTGCCGGTGATGCGGAGCTCCACTGGTAGAGAAAGGAAAACTGAAATCAGGCGGCTGGGGATTTGCCCGGTGATCAGTGACGTAAAAGAGACTAAGGTTCCTATTGGAAGGCGGAGTTCAGCAGGAGCCAATCCCGGGGCTGGTCTGGGAGAAATCTCGGCGAAGGGCCCCGAATAGCCGGGAGATTACGGGGCCGGGACGAGCTGTCGCGCTGGTTGCTCGTGGAGAAGCGGGACCCGGAACAGACCGGCGCGAGAGAGGAGGGTCCCCGGCAGGGGTTCGCCGCCCGGAGCTCGGGACCGGTGAGTAGGGGGTGTCGGATGAGAGATAAGCGAAGCAACAGTGTCGCACGCGCCCCGGGTTTGGGGCGACCCAACGCGGCCGCCGGGCCCGGGTTCAGAACGGGGCCGGGCCCCCGGGCGGGCTCAGGAGGGGGTCAAGTTCGCTGCGTCCTCCCCGCCAGCCTCGTCCCTCCTGCTTGCTTGTCCTTCCATTCCTCTTCCTCTTGGGTCCTCGCTTTCTGGTGTCCTCCTCAGACTCCGATCCATTACAGTCTGCGGAACCAGAAGTAAGCGGGGCCTGGTTGACCGTCCGTTTGCTTGGAGCCTGGTAGATAGGCGGCTAATCCAGCTCCCTGACCAAAGTGTCATGCTTGCTCTCTTTTTCTCTTTCTTTTCTTTTCTTTTTTTTTTTTTTTTTTGGTCGAAGTAAACTGGTTTAGCCACAAATACTAGGAGCTGTGCTTTCACTCCCTCCAGCCCATTAACATTTTTCTTACTGATTTTCTCCCTATTTGGCCTTAGAAAAAAAGTGTAAATTAACTTTGTGGAGTAAATGGGAGGGAAACACTTCCAAATCTCCAGTAGGATTTCAAATTTTGACACTACGATTTGTGTGTGCTTCAAAAGAGGGGAGAATGACGTTCATTTATGCATGCCTTAACCTCCTGTTTAACTGTTAGCTGAAATCATAATGCTTAACATGTTTTTCCCCTAAGTTCAAAAAAATCACCTTAAAAAATAGGCTTTTTTATGTTTCAAAAATTGCAATTTTATTTTTAAGTAGACTTTATTTCTTACAACACTTTTAGATTTACAGAAAAATTGGGAAGATAGTACAAAGTTCCCACATGCTCCAAACCGGTTCCCCTGTTATTTACATCTTACCTCTGTGTGGTACATTTGTTGCAATTAATGAACCAATATCAATACATTATTATTGACCAAAGTCCATAGTGTGCTCAGAGTTCCTTAGTTTTTACCTCAGTCCTTTTTCTATTTCATGATTCCATGCAGGTTACCACATTACATTTAGTTGTCACGTCTCCTTATGCTCCTCTTGGCTGTGGCAGTTTCTCAGACCTGTTTAGATGACCTTGACAGAATTGAAGAATACTGGTCGTATATAATGTAGGATGCCCCTCTATTGTAATTTGATGTTTTTCTCCTTAGACTAGGCTTATGAGTAACTGGGAGGAAGAACACAGAGGTAGATTACCATTTTCATCCCATTGTGTCAAGGGCATGTACTATCAACATGATTTATGACTTAATATCGATCTTGGCTGAGTGTTTTTCAGGTTTCTCCACTGTACAGTTACTCTGTTTTCCACTCTTTGCATGTATTGTCCTCTTGAAGGAAGTCACTAAGTGCAGCCCATACCTTAAAGGCAAGTATCTACACGTATGTATATTTGAGATGGAGTCTCGCCCTGTCACCTGGGCTAGAGTGCAGTGGTGCAATCTCAGCTCACTGCAACCTTCGCCTCCCGGGTTCAAGTGATTCTCTTGCCTTAGCCTCCCGTGTAGCTGGAATTATAGGTGCCTGCCACCACGCCTGGCTAATTTTTTGTATTTTTAGTAGAGACGAAGTTTCACTATGTTGGCCAGGCTGGTCTCAAACGCCTGACCTCATGATCCACTCGCCTCAGCCTCCCAAAGCATTGGGATTACAGGTGTGAGCCACCATACCCAGCCCCTACAGATATTATTTGCAGTTATTCTGCATGGAAGATTGTTTCTCTCTTCTCCCCCATTTATTAATTTATTAAATCATTAATTTCAGTGTAGACTCAGAGACATTTATTTTATGCTTTGGTTTATAATTCAGTACTACTTTATTTTGTTGCTCAGATTATTGCAGCTTTGGCTGTTGGGAGCTGTTTCACATTGGCTCCTGTGCTCCTTCCCAGCATGTATTTTTATAGAGCTTTTTGCTAATGAGACACTTATACTTAATGTGACCTTGCTTGAACCTCAAGTAGCCTGGTAAACTTGGCAAAATGTTTTCCCTTTGTTAAGAGGTAAGGAGACTGAAGGCCCAAGGCAGTGGATGACTTCTTAGATCCCACTTCCTGCAAGGGACAAACAAGTTGGACTCAGATTGGCTGTGACCACCACAGAGGACACTGCAAATCTCAGAAGAGAGCCCGTGGTCTGAATTGAGGCTTCTTGGTGTGACTTCAGACTTGGATCATCCCAGGATCTGAATAGAAAAGACACAGAGAATGGGAAGTTGGTTTTAGAAGACAAAAGCGTAATTTGGCTGGTGTTGGGATGAATTAGATTTTTGCCAACTTGATAGAAATGGAATTTTGTCCTTCCCCCCAAAATTGTGTGCATACAGAGGTAGACCAGAAGAGATCTAGGTAATGTGTGTGGCCAAGAGTGTCTAATCTAAGGAGAACCCTGGGAGCCTGCCGCCGAAGCAGAATTTTAATGTGGGAAAGTGGGGTGTGTGGTGAAAGGGAGGAGAATGGAGATGCCAAGGCTCTGGAATTAGAGGAGCATATTAATTTCACAAACATTTGCAGACCCTCTACTTTGTACCGGATATTGGAGATAAAAACATCAGTGAGGCATGACCCTTGGGTTTCCATTCTGGCTGGGAGAGAAGACAGATAAAAATATCAATTATAGCCACTTATTTATGGCTTCATTTTCCATGGTTTCAGTCAACCTCAGTCCAAAGAGAGTAAACAGCAAATTTCAGAAGTAAACAATGCATAAGTTCTAGATGTGCATTGTTCTGAGTAGCATGATGAAATCTCTTGCCATCCCACTGTTCCTGCATCACAAGAAGGGAGAGTACAGTACAAGATACTTCAAAAGAGAGACCACAGGCATGTAACTTTTATTACGGTATAGTGTTAAAATTCTCTTCTGTTATTATTGCTAATCTTTCTGTGCCTGCTTTATAAAGTTTATTATAAGTGTGTATGTGTAGGAGAAAGAAACATAGGTTTCAGACACCACTGGGAGTCTTAGAATGCATCTCCTGAGGATTGTGGGGACTCCTGTATGAATGTATTTTCAGCGGATGGGGGGTGCTACTGTATGAAGCAGTGTGATAGTGTTATCATAGAAATACAGTGTATGCAAAGCTTTAGGAGCTCTCCAGAGGAGGGATACATTCAACTTAGCGATGGGATGGGCACAAGAAAGACTTCACAGATAAGGGGACAAATTGTATTCAAGCCTTCAAGGACGAGCTGGACTGGAGAGAAGAGCTCGTACAAGGGCATGGGTGGAGAGTGGAGTGTGAAGAAGGGGCTGTCTCCCTGGTTCAATGTATCTAATGGCCAGAGAATTAGGTAGGACAAGGCTACCATTTGGGGCTGGATGGGTAAGTTGGGGCTAACCGGATGGGGGGCAGAGGAGGTTGCCTGTGCAGTTTTGACCTTAGCTAGTAGGAATTTTTTTGGTTTATTTGTTTGTTTGTTTTTTTTTTTTGAGACAGAGTTTCGCTCTTGTTACCCAGGCTGGAGTGCAGTGGCACGATCTTGGCTCACCGCAACCTCCGCCTCCTGGGTTCAGGCAGTTCTCCTGCCTCAGCCTCCTGAGTAGCTGGGATTACAGGCATGCGCCACCATGCCCTGCTAATTTTTTGTATTTTTAGTAGAGATGGGGTTTCACCATATTGACCAGGATGGTCTCGATCTCTTGATCTCGTGATCTACCTGCTTCAGCCTCCCAAAGTGCTGAGATTACAGGCGTGAGCCAGGTTTGTTTGTTTTATTTTAATTAATTAATTATTATTATTATTATTTTAAGAGACAGGGTCTCCCTATGTTGCCCAGGCTGGTCTTGAACCCCTGGGTTCAAGGGATCCTCCTGCCTCAGCCTCCCAAAGTGCTCAGATTACAGACACCAAGCCCAACCTCAGCTAGAAGATTTGAAGCAGGAGAATAACAGGATGAGATCCTGTGTGGTAGAAGGATGATTCTGGGAACACTTTTTAGGAGATAATGCCACATCTCACCAAATCTAAGATGCTATTTATCTTAATCCATTTTCTGTTGCTGTAACAGAATACCACAGGCTGGTTAAATTGTAAACAACAGATGTTTATTCAGCTCACGGATCTGGAAGCCAATGGACTCTAGCAAGAATGGCATTAATCCATCATGAGAGTTCCACCCTCATGACCCAGTCACATCTTAAAGACCCCACTTCTTAATACCGTTACATTGGCAATTAAGTTTCCAACACGTGAACTTTTGGGGGACGTGTTCAAACCACAGCACCATCACTTCTTTTATGTGCCCTTATTTTATGCCCCACATCAAAAAAATATTTTGCCAGTTAAATTAAGACATGCCATTAATCACATTTCAGAGATGCTAAAGTGTGATGTCATAGGTGTCTCAAATTTGATGAAAAGCAGTAACTTCCTAGCTGATGGCTCAGATTCCTCCCTTTCCCTGGATTAATGGTTAGAATATCTCCATCTCACTACCTCATAGGTGGTAAGTTACCAAGGGGAAGAAGAACCGAAGCTGGGTGGGCCCTTCCCCTTCTTTCCCCAAAGATAAACATTTGCGACATTTATTAGTTGGGTCAAGGAGCACAATATCTGGTCTGCTGCTATAGGATTCCTTGGCCTGTTACTGGGTCTCTCTCATGCTGTTTCCTTTTGGAGAGTTAAACACACACACACACTCATACACACACACTATATGCCATCCTCCAGAGTGGCAAAAATTAAAGCTGATAATACCAGGTGTTGGTGAGGCTGTGGGGCAGCATGAGTGCTCATAGCCTGCTGGGCAGACTGCGCAACAGTATAGTCACTTTGGAAACAGTTTGGCCTGATTAGTCAAATTGAGGATTCATCTTGCCTGTGTGTGCTAGGACGTGTGTGCAGAAATATTCATGGAAGTAGTGTTTGTAATTGTCTCAAACTGGAAACAACTTATATGGCTATCAGTAGACTGCATTAAAAATTGTAATCAGAGCAGCAATTAAATAAAATCAGCTTATAATAATATGAATGAGCCTTAAAACATGATCAGTTCCCTCCC